CTCTAATCTAACTACCATGTCTGCAAGCATGGTTGATTTTCATACCTGGATTGAGGGGATGAAATTAATTGATCATAAAGTTATGGGAAGTTGGTTTACATGGTGGAATAAACAGAGGTGCAATCCTATTGCCAAGCGTCTTGATAGGGTTCTCATTAATGAAATGTGGTTAAGCTGTTTTCCTGCAAGTTCTGCTAGTACAATTCCCCCAGGAATCTCTTATTACTGTGGGATTCTACTGACTTCAGTCCCCCAGGTAGATAGTTTACCCAAACCGTTCAAGTATTTTAAATTATGGGTGAGCCATCCCTGTTATATGAAGTTGGTAGCTGATGCTTGGAATTTTCAAGTTGATGGTTGGCCTTACTATGTTTTCTATGGTAAGCTGCGGAAAGTAAAGGATAACTTGAGGAAGCTAAATAGAGAAGTCTACTTGGATATATCTGCTCAAGCAAGAGAGATGGAAGGGAGACTGGAAACATTGCAGATGGATCTTCTTGAACACCCTACTGATTTATTGATTGAAGAAGAGGGGATTCTGGCTAAATATTGCTTAGAGCTTAAACGGGCAGAAGAGAGTTTTTATAAGCAAAAGGCTCGTGTTCAAAGTGTGAAAGACGGTGATCTCAACACAACATATTTTCATAAAACTGTAAAAATTCATAATCATAGGCAGCAGATCACCAGAATTTTGGATGAATTGGGGAAACAAGTGACTGATGTGAAAGGTGGTTGTAGTGAATTTCTGCACTGAATTAATTGGAAAAGTTAATTCGGATGTATTGCTCCAGCCATCCAGTTTCTATCAACATTTATCACTTAAGAAAGTTTTAGCTGATGATGCCAATTCAATGATCCTCCCTGTGACCTGTCACATGTGGCAGATGACATGGCGCCAACAAGGTGACAACATGACGGCTACACATGTGGCGTGTATGGAAGACTAGTAGCATAGAGATGCTCCTAGGATTCTCCACCTAAATGAGAGCTTAATGGTGCACTTATGAGTCACATAATGGGTGACATTTATAGAGTGCATAATGGGGGGACTTAATGGGGTGTATTGATGTAGAGGGACATTATGAGGGGCATTGATGCCTTGTATGAGGAGAGGCCTATATAAGGAGCCATCTCCCTCACTTGTAACTCATTCCATCATTTTTTTAGAGTAATACACACTAGAGAGTTCTCCCAGTTCCTTTGTCTCTGCTTCCTTGTTCTTTTCTTGCGAGTGGGTTGAGAGAAGGCTGCCTAGCGCTTTAACAAAATTGAGAGCTAGGGCCCCACGATCGAGAGTAAGGTCGTGACAAGTGGTATCAGAGCCCCGTTCAGCTTTGTGCTAGCAAAGTAGAAGCAATAGCCAGACGAAAAGGAAGAGCCTCACCAAAAATGTCGAGATCAGATAGCGCGTTACCGAAGCTGAGAAGCAGCTTGGCAGAGATCCCACCCCAGGCGGGAGGTCAAAAGGCACGTCGAGCACTCGTGATCCTCTCAAGTCTCTAGAGAGGCGAGTCTCGAGGATGGAGGTGAAGATTTCCGAAGATGTCACTACCATCTAGGATTTGGGAGCTAACATCACCCGAGTCCAAAGAGATGTTCGAGGAATGGCTGGTCGGTTGACAAGCTTGGAGATCAACCATGATGGGATGCGAGAAGAGCTCGTGGCTCTCATCAACAACACCATCTCCGAATCCATGAACAACGCCATTGAAGTTGTGAAGGAGCATGTCCAGGCTAAGCTTGTCGGCGTGAAGGAGGAGATTGAAGACCTCAAGAGTGAGGTCATTCTCGTGAAGAGAGCCATGGCTAGCGAACCAGCTCCGGTGCAATCCGTCCCACGTGCTGATGTTCCAAGACCGAAGAACTTCAGAGGTTCAAGGAACGCGAGGGAGTTAGAGAACTTCCTTTGGAGTCTTGAGCAATACTTCTAGTCATCCGGCATCCAAGAGGATGACGTAAACCTTCGTACCGCTCCACTATACTTGGTCAATATTGCAATGGTGTGGTGGAGGCGACGTGAAGCGGACGTCGAAAGAGGTATGTTTGTGATGGTAACGTGGGAAGATTTCAAGAGAGAAATCAAGAAGCAGTTCTACCCGGAGAACGTGGAGTTTAAAGCCCGTTCAAAATTGAGAAGACTCACCCAGAGGGGTGGAGTTCGAGAATATGTGAAAGAATTCTCGAGCTGCTTCTAGAGATCCCGGACATCACGCACAAGGAGGCCATGCACGACTTTCTTGATGGGCTGCAACCATGGGCTAAGATGGAGATGCAACGTCGAGGAGTGCAAGACCTTGCATCTGCCATGGCCACGACGGAGTCTTTTGTTGAGTACAAAAGGCAAGAGAGCAGCGGCAAAGAGAAGAGTTCAAAGCCCAACAAGGGTGGAGAACAACATAAGTCTTTCAAGGAGGGTTCTCGCACTCAACAACACCAAGGTGGTACAAGCAAAGGGGGTAAGTATGAACCAAAGCCCGTATCTTGTTTCCTTTGCGATGGACCGAATCGGGTGCGAGATTGCCCAAGGAAGGCGAAATTGGCGGCCATGGAAGCTCAAGATGAAGAGCCTAAGGCAGCGGAAGCCAAGATTGGCTCAATCCGCAAGCTTGGCGCGGTGAAGACCGACGTCAAGGAAAGCAAGCAGGGGAGGTGCTATGTTCTGGCGCAATTCATGCAAGGCGAGTCAAAAGCCTTGGTGGATACCGGTGCCACGGAGAACTTCCTTCGCATCGAGGAGGCGAACCGGCTGGTTATTGCCTACAAGAAGGGGCAAGGAAGACTCAAAACGATCAACTCGGAGTCCATCCCGATCCATGGAGTTGCTCACAACGTGCCAGTGAAGCTTGGCGAGTGGGAAGGTCTCATCGACTTTTCCGTCGTCACCATGGACGATCACCCAGTCATCGTCGGCATCAACTTCCTCGACAAGGAGGGAGTGCTCTTGAAACCCAACTCCAACACGATGTGCTTGGAGAAGGAAGGGGAGTTCAATGCGGTCCATCTCTTGAGAGAAGATGGCCCCCATAGTGCTCTATCCGCTATGCAGGTATTGAAGGGGTTCAAGAAGAATGAACCAACCTTTCTTGTGTCCTTGAAGATGGATGAAGAAGGAGACTCAACGAGAATCACAGCTCCTATCATCGAAGGCGTCCTCGAAGAGTTCGATGACGTGATGCCATCGGAGTTGCCCAAGAAGCTGCCACCAAGAAGAGAGGTGGATCACAAGATCGAGTTGGAGCCAGGAGCAAAGCCCCCTTCGCGAGCACCACCTCATGGCGCCACCGGTGTTAGAAGAGTTGCGGAGGCAGCTCAAGGGTCGTTGCGCATGTGCATCAACTATAGAGCCATCAACAAGTTGACGGTGAAGAACAAGTGGTCAATTCCCAACATTGCCGACTTGTTCGACCAGCTTGGAGATGCAATGTGGTTCACCAAGCTTGATCTCCCCTCGGGCTATTATCAAGTACGGATAGCAGAGAGCGATGAGCCAAAGACAGCTTGTGTGACGAGGTATGACTCTTACGAGTTTCTTGTGATGCCATTCGGTCTCACCAACGCACCAGCCACATTTTGCACTTTGATGAATCAAGTGTTTGAGCCATTCTTGGACCGGTTTGTCGTGGTCTACTTGGATGACATCGTGGTGTATAGCAAAACACTCGATGAGCATGCTGAGCATCTACGCCAAGTCTTCCAAGTGCTTCGCGAGAACGAGTTATATGTTAAGAGGGAGAAGTGCACATTTGCCGCCACAGAGGTTCCATTCTTGGGCACATCATCGGTGGAGGCAAGTTGAAGATGGATGGAGCGAAGGTGCAGGCAATCCAAGAATGGGAGTCGCTGATGAAGGTGCCAGCGTTGCGGTCATTCCTCGGCTTTGCCAACTACTATCGGAGGTTTATCAATGGCTACTCCAGCATTGCAGCACCCTTGACGGATCTCTTGAAGAAGAACAAGGCATGGGATTGGTCGGAAAGGTGCCAAGAAGCATTCGAGGCCTTGAAGGCAGCGGTAATGAATGAGCACGTACTCGTGCTCCCCAACCCAACGTTGGCCTACGAAGTGCAGACCGATGCATCCGACTTCGCGATTGGAGGTGTGTTGATGCAAGATGGGAATCCCATTGCCTTTGAGAGTCGGAAGCTCAGCGAGACGGAGAGGCGATACACCGTCCAGGAGAAGGAGATGACGGCCGTGGTGCATTTCTTGCGCACATGGAGGCACTACTTGTTGGGGTCAAAGTTCGTAGTGAAGACGGACAACGAGCTACTTTCTGACGCAAAAGAAGCTCACCCCTAAGCAAGCAAGGTGGCAAGATTTTCTAGCCGAGTTCTATTTCGTCATGGAGTACAATCCATGCAAGGCGAACTCCGTTGCAGATGCTCTTAGCCGCAAGAGTGCAGCCGCAAGCATCAACCAGCCCATGTTTCCTTTGAAGGAGTGGATCGTTGAAGGCCTTGGCCATGACCCCTTCGCCAAAACCATGTCAGAATACATCGAGTGAGGTAAGACTCGACGGTTTTGGATGAAGGATGGGCTCATCATGTCCAAGGGAGAGCGGGTGTTCGTGCCAAGATGGGCCAACTTGAGAAAAGATATCATGAAGGAGTGCCATGATTCCAAGTGGGCAGGCCATCCCGGCATCGAAAGAACACAAGCGCTCATCGAAGAAGCATACTTCTGGCCGCGTATGAGAGACGACGTGGATATGTATGTGAAGACTTGCCTTGTGTGCCAACAAAACAAGATGGAGCAGAGAAGCCCGACAGGCTTGCTAGAGCCCTTTCCCACGCCTCAACGACCATGAAAGAGTGTAAGCATGGACTTCATCATCAGAATTCCCAAAGTCGATGGATGCGGTTGCATCATGGTTGTGGTGGACAGGTTCTCGAAGTATGGAGTCTTCATTCCTGGGCCAAAAGACTAAACGGCTGAGGATGCGGCACGTTTATTCTTTAAGAACGTGGTAAAGTATTGGGGCATTCCTAGCAACATCGTGAGCGACATAGATGGGCGCTGCACGGGCCAATTTTGGCGAGAGTTGTTCAAGATCATGGGCTCGGACTTGAACTTCTCGACGACATTTCATCCTCAAAGCGGGTGAATGCCTTTTTAGAGGTACAAACCAACGAGATTGGGTGAAGTTGATGGACACGGCACAGTTCTCATACAACTTGCACCGCAGCGAGTCGACCAACACGAGTCCATTTGAGTTGGCGACGAGGTAGCAACCTTTGACACCTACGACGGTGGCAATGGTTTATAGAGGCAACAGTCCGGTAGCCTACAAGTTTGCTAAAGGCTGGCACAAGAAGATGGAGATGCCAAGTCTTACTTAGCCCGCGCTAGTAAGAAGATGAAGAAATGGGCGGATAAGAAGAGGCGGCACTTGGAGTTTGAAGAGGCAGGCATGGTCATGGTGAAGTTCTACCCTCATCGCTTCAAGCATCTCAAGAACGTGCACAAGGGACTGCTTCGGCGCTATGAAGGGCCATTTCCGATCGTGAAGAGGATTGGCAAGGTGTTGTACAAGGTGGAGGTGTCGTCGCACTTGGAGATCCATCCGGTCTTTCATGTGAGCCAACTCAAGGCTTTCCACGAAGACAAGGAGGACGAGCAGCGAAGAGAGTCGCAGCGCACACCAACACTCATCACCAAGACACACGACCATGAAGTTGAAGAAATTATGGCGCGTCGTGTCATTCCTCGTCGTCGCGTACATCCAAGCTTCGTTGAGTACTTGGTCATGTGGCGCAACCTTCCTGAGAGTGAAGCAACTTGGGAGAAAGAGCTCACGCTTTGGAAGAACAAGGACTTGATCGAGACTTTCCTTCAAGAGGACGCGACGAGGGCGTCGCGAGCATAGGTGGGGGAGGATGTCACATGTGGCAGATGACATGGCGCCAACAAGGTGACAACATGGCGGCTGCACATGTGGCGTGTATGGAAGACTAGTAGCATAGAGATGCTCCTAGGATTCTCCACCTAAATGAGATCTTAATGGTGCACTTATGAGTCACATAATGAGTGACATTTATAGATTTCATAATGGGGGGACTTAATGGGGTGTATTGATGTAGAAGGACATTATGAGGGGCATTGATGCCTTGTATGAGGAGAGGCCTATATAACTTGTCATCTCCCTCACTTGTAACTCATTCCATCATTTTTTTAGAGTAATACACACTAGAGAGTTCTCCCAATTCCTTTGTCTTTGCTTCCTTGTTCTTTGCTTGCGAGTGAGTTGAGAGAAGGTTGCCTAGCGCTCCAACGGAATTGCGAGCTAGGGCCGCACGATCGAGAGTAAGGTCGTGACAGACCCGAGAGGAAATCAAGGGTGTGTTTTTCAGCCTTGGAAGGGACAAAGCCCCTTGGCCTTATGGATTTCCTTCAGAGTTCTTTAGGCTTCATTGGGATCTTGTTGGTCCTTTGGTTGAGGATGTTGCACTCCATTTCTTTCATTCAGGTGTTATGCCTAGAGCTATCAATTCTACGCTATTGATTTCATGCTACAACACAATATAAAAGGGCAAATCTAAAGTACTAGCTAACAAGTCAGCAGATGTTCTTCCATCCCTAATCTCTCCATCCCAGTCTGCTTTTATTAGGGGTCGCTCTATGAGTAATAATATCTCTTAGCTGCTGAAATAGTTAAGGATTATCATAGGAAGAATATTACTCTTCGTTGTGCTATAAAGATCGACATTATGAAATCCTTTTATTATGTCAATTGGTCATTCCTTTTCTCTGTTCTTGAAACTATGTGGTTGCCTGATCTGCTTATTCGCTGGTTGAAAGCCTGTGTTGTTTCCCCTCGAGTTAGTGTTGGGTTGAATGGTGGCATATGTGGTTCTTTTCCATGAAGCGTGGTTTAAGGCAAGGGGATCTATTATCCCCTTACTTATTCACTGTGGCTATGGAATTTCTTGATGCATTGTTAAAGAGAGAAGCCTTCCGGGATCAGATCCTATTTCATCCAAGGTGTAAGCCATTAGAAATTACACATTTGTGCTTTGCTGATGACTTGTGTTTACAAATGGTTCAATTAGAAGGGTTGCTGGCATTTGTAGAGCTCTGGAGGTTTTTTACTCGATATCTGGGTTGAAATGCAATCCGAAGAAGTGTCAGTTATTCTGTGGGGGCATTTTAGAGTGTGGAAAGAAAATGATTTCTGATTATTCAAAGTTTCCTACTAGTCAGTTGCCTATTCGTTGCATGGGAGTTCCGCTGCTAATAGGGAAACTTACTAGGTTTGACTGCAAAGTTCTGATTGAGAATATCACCAGAAAGATCCGTAGCTGGAGATCTAAAACCCTTAGTTTTGCAGGTCGATTGCAGTTTATTTCATCTATTCTAACCAGTGTATTGCAGTTTTGGATGAGGATTTTCTTACTTCCACAGTTTGTTATTAAGGAAGTGGAGTCGATATGTAGTTGTTTTCTATGGGATATTGATGATAACTCGATGCGAAAATGGGTTGTTGCCTTCTGGCAGTTCATTGCTAGTCCCAAGAAGAAATGAGGTTTGGGTATTAGAAATTTTTCAGTTTGGAATAAAGCGTGTGTGTTTAGGCATCTATGGGCGATACTTACTGCAGAAGGTTCATTTTGGGTTGCCTGGGTTGCACGTTATCGTATTAAGCAGGTATCAATGTGGGATCAAAAGGTTACAGTTGTTGGAACTTGGGTTTGGAAAAGAATTTTGAAGTGCAGAGACTCGGCTAGGCCTTTTGTTTCTGTCCTGGGATTGATTTGAAGCGGGATGGAGAGTTTATGGCCCCTTACTCTGTGAAGAGAGTTTGGGGTTCATTGAGACAGCATGATAATGTGGTTCCCTAGTATAAGTTGGTATGGGAATGGGACAGGTGCATTTTTCCCCAGCATGGTTTTATTTTGTGGTTCGTGATCAATGATCGTTTAAAGCTACATGATAGACTCATTGCTTGGGGGAAACAGGTCTCTAGGATGTGTGTGATGTGTCTTGGTGGTGTGGAAGATTGCTGGCATTTGTTTGTTGCTTGTCCCTACATCCAGTATCTAAATAGGATGATCTTGCAGAGGGCGTCACCACCACTTATTGTTGATTGGCAAGCTTTTCTGCAATGTTGCATCAGGGAGTGGAGTGGGGACTCGCCTGCTGTTGCTTTAAATCAAATGAGTTGGTGTGTAGTTGTCAGCCTTGTGTGGCGTGAAATGTGTTCGAGGTTGTATGGTTCCGGGGCAGCAAAGTGCCCTTCTCTGCTGGTGCTTGATTCTAAAAGGAACATTAGAAATCGTTGTCTTTTGAATCACGACTTACTAGATTGTTTTTATTCTATGGACTTGGGGTAGAGTTGAGTATTATTAGGTTTCCTCTCTGAGGGTTTTGATGTACAGAACTGTTTATGCTTTGAGGGCTCCATAGCGATTTGCTATTGGTGTCGGTGCTTAATGCTATTTTGATTTAACCATAAAAAAAATAATTAGCGATTTATTCCAATGAAATCTTTTGTTTATAGTGTAAAAAATTAACTTATCGTAAACCTTCTTGACCCTCTTTCTCTTTGTCCCCGTGGCTACTCTATGTTGCACTGCTTTTTTACCATCATCCCAATTCCCACATATATATTATACTAGGTGGCGATGCCGCGCCTTGTCGCGGGACGGAGATGGTGTACGGGCATGTATTATGTGACCCATTATGGTATTTTGTTAGTATTATTAGCCTAAAATTAATTTTTTATTAGCACTTTTGTTAATAATATTGACTGAAAAGATATATATGGCAGTCAACTTCCAATTTAAAAAATATTGAAAATTTTGGCTAATAAATGATATTTACCTAAACCCAAGTAGACTTATTGATTATGGGTAGGGTATGGGTGACGTATATATGGGTTTGGAATTTTGTAGATGAGTTTGGGTAGTGTATGAATATTTACTTTCATAATCTAAATGTGTATGAGTTAGGTATTGATACCCATTTATTCGAAAGTGTTTCAATTACACATACAAAAATTAGACCTATTTGTGGAACTTCAAAAGTTTAGGTACTAAAATGTAATACACAAAAATTTTAGGTACTAAAATGTAATGTTCCATCAATATTATGAGAATTATATGCCAAAAAATTAAATTTAAGGTATATATCTAAAGATCTATTAAGTTTAGGTATCACACTGTAATTTGCATAGTTGAGGCTTAAATCCTTTTATGTTGATGTATTTAAGATGATAATGATCTATTTTCTTATTGAAAATAGGAAACTATTTATTTGATGTGTATAATTATTGAAAATTCCATGTATACTTGTTGAAAATGCTAGGCCGGGTGAAAAAGAAAAACTCTAGAGAGAAGCAGAAGTATTACAAACTGGAACTCGCTTAAAATTTCACGCCTTCAAATCTCATAGTGAAAAATGACGGCTTTCTAATAAGTAATAACCATCTATATTTATTTTTAATTGGACTCGACATTGAGCTGAAAAAATAATGGTTCAAGGTTTAATTATTAATTCTCTAGACTGTTGGTCAGTCGTGTATGGACCCGTTCAAACTTGTGATTAGAATACATAAAAAAAAGTATACTAATTAGGGTTAGACGAAGAAGACAAAGAAAGAGATAAAGAAAGGGTTTTGGAAGGCGAGTGAAAAATGAAACAAAGAGGAAGTAGATGATGGAAAGATTTTGACCAATTCTTTTAGTTGGCCGTCAATACAACAGTCAACCATTTTCACTGTAGCAATTTATTGACACTTGCTTATGTAGATGTCGCATATTTTGTTACATGTAGTTAGTAGACGTTTGGTTAGTACCTCGTAAATGAACTAAATAAATTTATAAATTCACTTTTGCAATATTTTAGAATCATCTCGCTTTTATCATTTATTTAATGCTTCACGTAATGATCAAATATAAATTGGTTGAATCTTCTCCTACAGTTGAGTGATACAACATCTTGTATGGTACAAACTAAATTTATACTTTTATGTTATGGTGGATTAGATTCATGGATTGGTTTAAAAGGATTGGTGGATGGGATTCATGGATTCAAGTGAAATCTAAATATTGGAACGATATGTAAATTTAAAAAACTATAAGTATGAAAATCTCATAAAATTTAGATACCAAAACATAATTTTTCAATCATTTTACATTAAAATTAAATTTGGGTATTATAATGTAAAATGTATATTATAATGATTAAGTTGTAATTTAATTAAATTTGGGGTATCAAAATGTAATAATTTCGGCAAGACTAACCTTACTTCGCTTTTATATATATTAACTAGGCAATGCCACCCGCGTTGCACTGTGAGATTGAGATGAAGTGTTCTACCGGTTTTTTTGTTATTATCAAAGAGTTGACATATATTAGGACCAGTAATAAAATGATCCCAAACATTTAAAATGTAACAAATATGTCGAATAAGTATCAAGATATAACAAAACAACTATATCATTTCTTTTCATACAAAATGGCCAATTAGCTTGCTTACGATAAGAGGGAATTTTACAGGTTAGTTAGATGTATTTCATCATCGTAACATGATGCCGTGAATCGTGATATGATGATACGACCGGGTTTTACAGACCGAAGTTTTTTACTCTATTCACTCGCTTAAAAATATATAGAATTCCGAAAAATCACGAGTTGGGCTTCATAACATATGTGACACATACGCTTTTCTAAAAGCTTAGCATTGTAAAACCAGTCCCATGGGATTAAGCCCAAAAAAAATTAGAGGTTTGTGTCAACCACTGTCATTAGCACTTGCTTAGTGTCTGATTATACACGTGCATATGTATTTTGTTTACAAATTATCATTATTTTTCTTAACATACTTCATATTTATCATGCATATATAACATTTTCATGAAATGTATTTTTCTCACTAAGTTTTTATTATTGTGATATGTCACTTATTTAATGTTGGTATATGAAGAGTTGTTAACATTATCCATGGATACCCGAAACCTGATCAGGTATGTGTATGGATTGATATTCTATCTGATGCTTACCTACACCAAATATGACTTGTTATTTTTTCCAATGTTGGATGATATTTAATATAATTTAAATATGTATGAACTATAAAATGAATTTTTTCATATATGCGTACTAAATTGGGCTAAAACGATTGGATATTAACCCTCTAGTCATTTATTCAATCGGAGCAATGAGCTAACCCGGGTTAATACTGTTACTCATATCCATATGTGTGCATAAAACAGTTCCATTTCTTCGGCCAAAGGGTAGAGACATAGAGTCCTAATAAAGTTCAATTATAGAATGAATTCATGACAAGCGTATCGCATATGATGAGTCAAAGCTGTAAAAGCAAAAGTGTGGGCCGAGGGTTGTGCTCTCTAATTAGTATCTATATAAAAAAGGGGAGTTCTAACCCCGAAGTGTCTGTGGACATGACATATGTTCAAAGTTTCGAAACTAACCCTACTTTTTTGCTGAGTTTTACATATTTGCCATTGGAGTGAGAGGGTCCCCAGTTGGCTATGGCATAGCGGCTATCTCTTCAATTTCCTATCACCCTTCATCTCTTTCCCTCCATTCTTATGCCGAAAGGAAACCCTTCCTTTCTCTTTCCTTTTGCACACTTGTCGATATCCATGGATGGCAGATAAGCAAACAAGAGTTGCATGCAAAGAAGAAGAGACAAATTGTGTTCGAGAATAACCTGTGAGATTGCTACTTCTTGCAGCTCAAGCTCCTTGCCATCAACCGCAACAACAGGTCATGAGCGAGCTACGACCCCATGGGAGTTTACGCCACCTTTGAGGAGCAGAACCTCACCATTGAGGGCACAGTCCACGGCTTCCACCAGCCCGAAGACAGTTACGACGTGATGATCTTCCCCCGGGAGCAGGAGTGTCAAGTGGAAGACGGGGCCTTTCGCCAGCAGCAGGCACAACTTCTAATTAATCTGTGATGTGGTGTTGGACTTCGCGGAGCGGACGCAGGACTAGGCCATGGAGAGCACGACTAGGAGCAGCCACAGCAATATAAACTCATGTTTTGATCATTAGTCGACACAGCCATCCATACATTCTCTCAAAGGTCAAAACCACCAACCATGAACAGAAAACCATAGCGATCTTCCTCGTTGTAGTGATTGCGACCCTCATTCCCATCACGCGGGGCAGGGGAGGGGGGGTTCTCTCGTTGCGTCCATCTCCACCTCAGTTCACCGTTCTAGTCGTTGAAGTCTACCGTTTCGACGTCGTTCTAGATTCCAGCATCGTGGTTACTGACCGTAGACGTGTATCAGCTAACCATCTTTCCATACCACCATCCAACACGTAGATCTCCGGATCAACTCGTTCTTCCAGGCCAACCTCATGACTCGCAAGAAGTACAACATCCATTATGAGTTGATGCATGTTTATGCTACCTTCGGAGAGCAAAACATTTCAGCGAGGGGATCTTCCATACCTTCTCCTAACACCTAGAGTATTACATAATAGTACTCGTAAAATTGGAGTATAAGTATAGTACGAAGAGCAATATGTTGTACTATAAGTATTGTTATATAACTTGTAAATTAAAAGTTATATTCCGCATCAGTCTATAGGTA